CATTCTCATCGCCTATTCAGCTTACAATATGTCCCTGGCATGTAAAGGTATATTGACTGCTAGGAGGCACCATGGGACTAATTTTATCACACAGAGTATACTTTGTATAAAAATAGAGACATACTTCCCTACCAGGGTGTTTATGGAAATCATGAGCAACTCTGCATAGGGGATATGACATAATTTAATATCTATATATCTCACTGCTCTGAATGCTTAAGAGAGGATATATAAGCCGTTATGAGGTTACCAATTCGGGCATATACTTTGTTGGACTGAATGTTGCTAAAAGATATCCTTTGGAGAATTTATGGATAAACTTTAACTAATGTTCACACTAGCATTAAATTCATGGAATATGATTCCTATTTAAAGGTGTTTTAGATAATGTAACCTATTTTATACAAAACATTTGTTATTGTCCATTCATTGCCAATGACATGTTCTTCAAGAGTTTTGGTAGATAGGTGAATGACGCTTTAAGTAGAACTAAACTTAAATTTCTCAGAAATTGCCTAAGCATTCTTTTAAACTATTACCACCACCACCTATTTCCATTTTGTGACCTAGGAAAAAACAACTGCTTAGCCTCAATCTTCATTGGTTTACTTAGGTAATGACAGCTTCTCTTTTCCTTGTTTTTTAGTGTTTTGAAATGAAATCCTCTGGGTTTAGGAAAAACTAATATATATCTGCCAGATGGATTCCAGTTCAGTTGCTACTGCTGAAATTACAGGAGCAGTGTTAGGCTTTCTTCACAAAAATGGGGTGTTCCCTACTGCTAAGTCGCTCTTGAGAATCTGATGTTATTTAAAGAATGGTCTCTTCCCTTTGTGCCTTATATCGCTCCAGTGCGGAGAATAAGTTTTTCCCTAAGCTCAATTCAAGCAAGGGCATTTATTAACCAAACATGCTTCTACTGTAGCTACAGTGGAAAATCAATTTTTAAAAACTGTGCTGCTTGACCCAAAGTTGGTCATTTGCATTCTTTTATGCCTCCCCCTCTGTTGAGAGAAGGGTGTTCAATTTTGACATAGATGGCCTCTTTGACCATCTATGGTTTGAAACAGAGGTCAAAGAGGCTATCTATGTCAAAGCTGAACAGCCCTCTCTCAACAAGGGGGAGAGATACGACATTATCTATCTTCAATCTACAACACAGTCCTTTCAACAGTTCCAAGAAGGCTCCACACCCATTTGCACCACTCAGGTGACCCTGAGGACACAGATAAACCTCCAGGGGCTTCAACGACTGTCTAAAAGAATGCAAGGTCCAGCTTTGTACAAGGAGTATAAATCCTGCCATTCCCCACCATCCAGTCAGAGCTGAAGAAGCTTCTTGGATGAGAAGCAAAACATCTTCAAAGAAAAAACAAAAAAGTCCAGTTGCCTCATGAAAAAAGCACCGAGGGACAATCATGACCTGGATGAATTGAGAATATCCATAGACATTGTGCATCTTGAATATTTTAGTGTGTTTTAAATTTATCATCAAACATTAAGGATGGATGGATGGATGGATGGATGGATGGATGGAGGATGGATGGATGGATGGGAATTACTTTCCTCATTCTCTAATCCCACAGTTTAAATAACAAACAAAACATTAATCCAAATGTTTTGGGACTGTTTTTGCACAAAAAGCCTTTCTATTTCTACAGAATGGGTGAAGTGAGTCTTTTCAGATATGGGGGTTTCATAATTATTTTGTTTTAACGCCTCTGCTATGTTTCCTGTCTCCATCCCCACTCCTGAGCCCCTGTTGTCCTTTGTGGGAAGCAGCTATTTGACAATCATTGGCTTTGGATATAAATAAGATGACTGATGGCTGTTTTCTTTTCTATTTCAGGTTGTGGAAGCCAATTTGGTTGCTTTTGACTGTCACTGGATCATTATAAATGAGGTAACTGTCAACCAAACATGAATCTTGTTTTTAATCTAAGGGCAAGAATATTCATAGTGGTCTTGTCTTTGCAGTAGCAGAAGTAAAAATTCAGCTGAGCTAGTGGATAGAAATGCTGTTTTAATAAATTGGGGAAATAGAACTGAAAGATTGTGCAGTCTGAATGAAAATTCCACTGAAGAATATCTTTGGTTTTGTTGTAGTATTTCTAATAATAATAATAATAATAATAATAATAATAATAATAATAATAATAATAATAATAATAATAATAATAATAATAAAGTTGGAAGGGACCTTGGAGGTCATCTGTGCAATGAGCCATAATAATAATAATAAAGTTGGAAGGGACCTTGGAGGTCATCAAGTCCAACCCCCTGCTCAGGCAGGAAACCCTATACCATTTCAGACAAATGGCTGTCCAATCTCTTCTTAAAAACCTCCAGTGTTGGAGCATTCATTGCTTCTGGAGGCAAGTTGTTCCACTGGTTAATTGTTCTAACTGTCTGGAAGTTTCTCCTTAGTTCTAGGTTGCTTCTCTCTTTCGTTAGTTTCCATCCGTTGCTTCTTGTCCTGCCTTCAGGCGCTTTGGAGAATAGCTTGACTCCCTCTTCTTTGTGGCAACCCCTGAGATATTGGAACATTGCTATCATGTTCTCCCTTGTCCTTCTCTTCATTAAACTAGACATACCCAATTCCAGCAACTGTTCCTTATATGTTTTAGCCTCGAGTGCCCTAATCATCTTTGTTGCTCTTCTCTGTACTCTTTCTAGAGTCTCAACATCTTTTTTACATCGTGGTGACCAAAACTGGATGCAGTATTCCAAGTGTGGCCTTACCAAGGCATTCCATTTGTTTGTTATCTCCTTCTTTGCCTGGAGCTGATATTTCCAAATCTGAACTGGCAAACAATCACCAAGGATCCCAAGGTCAACCACCTTGATAAATTTAGTGAATCCAATATTTGGAAAAGGGTTTTGAGATAGGGTGACCAAAATCACAGCTGTCTGGGCAACCTGGGTCAGTTGACAGCTAAATTAAGCATTGAATAGTCGTCTTCTTTTATTCTTTTAGCAGCTTAGCTAAATAAAACTCAAGAAATTCAATCCAACACCATTTCACTGTTATAACTAGAGTTATAAATATATAAATACATAATTATGCATTAATTTATTGTTATTTTTATATCCTGCTTTTCTTCTAAAAAGGGAAGTTTTACACTTTTCCTCTGCTCACAATTCAGAAACAATTTACTGTGTATTCAGAGCTAGAATAACCATGAATGTTTCATAGCTGGGAGAAAATAAAGGAATGTTAGAAAGTGATTCTTACCAGTCCTAACACTAAACAGTTCTCTTCAGCTAAAGAAGGAAAACGAAAGTCAAAATTTTGAATGGCTCATGGAATGATTTTCCATCTTTTGGTTCCAGATGATTTTGGTTTTTGATGTTCTTAAGAAAAACTTGAGAGCATTTTGGTTTTCTGAATTCAACTCTATATTACCCAAATCATTTGATCTACAGCATCAAAGGCTGCCAGGAAGACACATATTCATTCACAGTAATCTCACCTTTCCATTAAAAGCAGCTTCTAACCATAGAAGCAGATGGTAAGAACAATATTAACATTGCTATAAAATACAAATTGATAAATCAGTGCAGAAAATTGCTATTAAAAATCCACTTTATTTACCATATTTTCAGAAAAGATGGATAATGTTGACATGCTACCTAAAATTAAACAGATTAGGTGCCAAGATGAACATATTTGGGAAGGTGTGCCATAACTGAAAAGGCCTTCTCTCAATTTCCAAGTGCCTAGCATATGGAGGAAAATCCAATTATAGAAATTCAAAGCTGATCATGCTATAATTATTGTGAGTTCATATGGAAAACTTTTCTTAATGTGGGAGGTAATCGGAAATAGTGATGAGAAGGAGACCAGGAATGGTGGCGGAAAGAAAACAAATCTTAATGGATGGGTAGACATCAGGTTTCAAAGGTTATCACTCTAGAACAGTCTTTCTCAATTTTATTACTTTAAGATATGTGGACATCAACTCCCAGAATTCCCCAGCCAGCATGCTTCAATGGAGGTTGAGGTCCACGTAAATTTGTCAAGGTTGAGAAACACTTCCCTAGACTTTGTAAAATTCAGATATTTGTGGGATCAACCTTTTTGCAAGTAAAAAGCACATTATATTTATTTTCCCTGCTTCTTGTCCAACCTGGGACCTCACAATGTCTCCCCTCATGCTTACCCATTCCAAAATGATTGGAAGATATGACAAATAATTTAAAAAAATAAAAAATGCATATTTTTAAAATAATTGTAACTAGATCAGTGGAAAGCAACATTGATGTTAGTTTACTGTTTACTGTTTTCTTTTTTGTTAACTCTAATTTATCCACAACTACAGAAAACAACAAATTAAAAGAGTTTACCGCTTTACAAGTTTTGAAAGCATAAACAAAAGAAAACTCTGTATAATCTATATTCTAAAATGCTGGCTGAGAACTTGTTCTCTGCAGTACTTATAATGCCTCATTACAGTGACAAAACATATATTGCTTACACTTTCCCAAGCCTACTTTTCAGGGTATTTTTATTCTCTTGATAATATGTGTCTTTGGGGAAGCAACTGCAAAATGATAAACAAAACAAAAGCTGTGATTTCTAATTAAAAGGGGGGGCAGAATCTGAATACTAAGGAAATAATGCCTTGTGCTTATTGAGAAATAAAGCATATGTCTTTGTAGAGATTTTAAGAGTCCAAGCATTTTAGAAAAGAGGTGCCAGCTATTTTGTGGATCCTGTGACCATGATGTTTCACATGAAAATTTGTTCATTTCTTATTAACATAAAGATACATAATTCATTTATCTTACCATGTGTGCAGCAATTCTATTTTACATGTAGGAAATCCTAGGTGTATGGGATCTGCCTATGACTGGGAAAAGAGAACAGTAACTCGTAATGTAAGGAAATCACAATCCAGAACACTTTGCTTAAATGGCAGAATTGCTTATTAGATAATGTCAAAGTATAACTTCTTTAGCCTAAATTCATATCTGACTTTTTAATGCTGTGATGATAGCCGTATTTGAATGGGTTGAGTGAAGCAAGAACAATGAAAGGGGCAAAGTTATGACAGGTATCAATTTTTTAAAATTGAAATTAATGTAAATAAACACTTTTGATGTTTTCCCCCTGTTAATTTAGCAACTTTTCTTGAAAAAGAAAAATTCAGAGATAACACTTTGGATCATACTATAAAACAGCAATAGCAATAACACTTAGACTTATACACTGCCCCACAGTGCTTTACAGTACTGTCTGTATGTCAACATATTGCTCCCAACAATCTGGGTCCTCATTTTACTAACCTCAGAGGATGGAAGGCTTAGTCAACCTCAAGCCCCATCAAGGCCGAACTCCAGGTTGTGGGCAAAGTTAGTCTCCAATAGTGCTTTCTAACCACTGCACCACAAGGTCTCTTGTTAAGGGAAGAAGAAATGTGTGGCTTACAAGCCTCAAAGACAGCTTGTCTAGTACATGGATTTTGGAAAGCATACAGAAGTACAAGTAGAAGAGACTACGACTCTCTCTAGATCCTGGTGGATATATCTGAGGTGTAAAGTAAGAAGAATCATCCTGAAATAACCTGCTACGTGTGTTACAGTTGTTCCATGGAGACCTGAGGTTGATTGTATTCCTTCTCATCTCTATGCCTCAATCTTGTGTTCTCTACCAGAGGCCTGAGAGATTGAGGGGTCTGTGAGGATCTTTGCTATTCCTAACACTGCACTACTCTGAACAGACAGCTCTGAAGTTTTTTCTAGAATCTGTTGGAGCTCTTCTCCCAGCTTAGGAGTCTCAGGCCTAATGTATTATTTAAATGATTCATTAATAAATAAATATATATTCATCTATCCATCCACCAAGTTTTACACCAGGGGTCTTCAAGCTCAGCCCTTTTATGATTTGTGGACTTTAATTCCCAGAATTCCTCAGTCAGCGTGCCTGGCTGAGGAATTCTGGGAGTTGAAGTCCACAAGTCATAAAAGGGCCGAGCTTGAAGACCCCTGTTTTACACCAATGCGAACTGCTAGATTTAGGATTAGTCTGAAAGCTTGGAATACAAAACTTCTGGTCCTGGTAACTGACCCAGATTGGATCTTGCAACATTATCCTGGGACACCTATATTCACCTTCATTTATCCGACTATCTTACAAATTTACTTTTCCATTCATAGCCAAGTTCATATCTGCTTATTAATATTAGATATACTATTTAATCATTTTCCTTTCAGTTGCATTGGTTTGTAAAATGACTAATAAATTCTCTGAAAATTTCATCTCTAATTATATTGCTGTTACATAAAAATGGTTTATATTTTGTAAAAACTGGTAACTTTGCTCTCCATCTTGTGGCTATTTGAAATGATACAGACTAAATGATAAGACGGCTTTGTAAGCTGAGAGAAGCCATTATCTATGGTACATTAAGGATTAATCGACCAGAAATTCAGGATATTACACTGGACACAGCTGATGCCAGGTGTTATTTTGTTTCCCAAAAAATCTATATTTCATAAAGAACAAAAATAACAGATGGCTTCAGAAATCTATGACAGGCTATGAAGAAGAATAAAATAGGCTTATAGTCAAGATGATTGATGTTTAAAATTCATAGCTCTTCACATTTGCTGGACCATTAAAGAAACAAAACAATAGTATTATATCTGATCTAGTTATGAGAAATTTAAATATACATATGTTTAGGTAGCAACATTAATCATTATTTATACTTTAATCTATATCCATTTTTTATAAAGTATATTTATATAATCAGCTAAGAAAATGGTAAAAATAACTTTGAATTACAGCCACTCTTTTGGTTGTTTCCTTACATATGATTTTTGAAATATAAAAGATGGACTTTCAGATTCATAAATGTGGACAAAGTTTGCTTTGAATTAATATGGGACTTAATCATGTTCTTCCCTGCCAAAATAAAACATCAGAATAATTTGAATAGGTTTTCTGACTAACCCCCTGACCTATTCAGAATCCAAATTAAAGCTATTGGTAGGATGGGGTTTAAAACATTTTTTATTTATTTTAAAATGTCAAGAAGCAAACAAAAGACTACAGTAAAGGAACAGGTCTGACTGGTAATGTTCTGTAAAAAGCAGCCCATTACTCACTAGGTTTAGAGGTGTGGTTTAGTAGCTTAATGATGCTGGAGATGGTCTCTGCTCCAGTGGTTCGAGTCTTAGCACTGGGTGGCAGGATGAGTTCCTGCCACTCACCTCAGTTTCTGTCCACCTAACAGTTCGAAATCATGTTCTATGAAAGTAGATAGATAGGTACCACTTAGTGGGGAGACAAGTTGGTGCTCTGTGCAGGCAGTCAGATTTCTGATAGCTCTGAACCTTCCCGGTTGTAGTGCCCATTTGCGAGGCAGCTCCAGGAAAGGACGTGGTCTTGGGTGACCCTGCAGGAAGATCCACTCATCTTTCTCTCTGGTGTGAAGCCAGCTTGCCCTCCTGTGATGCATATTTGGAAATATGCAAGCATGTCCTACAACAGGGCTGTTAACTTGGCAAGCCAAACTGTATTCTGCACTTGCATTGTCGTCTCCAGACTATTGTAACAATGCTATACGCTAATAATAATAATAACCTTACTAGGTAACTAGTTCCATGATTAAACCACTGTAACTGGTTTCTTTTTTCCCTAACATTTAATTAGAATCTGATTTTCTGCAGCTTAAATCTATTATATATGTCCTAGTCATGAAAAGACTATATCACATCTCCCTTCAGTCTTTGCTTTTCCAGTCTAAGCATACCCAATTACTTCAATTTCTCTTCATAAATCTTAATTTGTCCCCAATTGTCTTCACTGTCTTTCTGAATATGCTGGTGTTTCTCTGCGTCCTTCTTGAAAATCCTTCTTAAAACCCAGAACTAAACAAAATACTTGAGACTTCATCTGATCAATGCAGAGTAGTAGGAAACTATACTTTCTATGGTTTAGAAACAAAACTTTTCTCAATAGTACCTTGAAGATAGCATTTCCTTATTTCTTATCAATAATTTATTTATTTATATCCCATCTTTATCATTTTTATTATAACTCAAGGCTGTGAGCACTTATAAACTTCTTCCTCAAATCAGGGCTTGTCCCTACTGCCCAACTGTCCTGCCAACCATCTTTGGAGGACAAAAAGGGATGATACCATCCTGTTTTAATCCCATGTACTGTACACCATCAAAGTGACCTCAAGACAGAGTTTGTTCTATTTCCAAACTCACTCATCCATGTTAGATCACCTCAAGCATTTTTGTCTATTTGGGTAAGTGCATTTCAGTTCTTACAGGATAACTCCAAAAATTTTTTCCTCCAAACTTTCTACTTTTTCCTGTGCTTTTTTGTTGTTTCTTTTTAAAAATGTGGTAAACCAAAGTACCTTTTTGCCAATAATCTGAGGTAAAAAGGCTCATCTCCACCTGGACTGATGCAGGATTTAAATTGAATTGAGGTGAAAAGGGAGAGGAAGATATGTTGCTTATAGAAAGGCAGATGAGACCGATTACAAGTCTCTTATCAATTAATAATTGTAATGTATTAACATTTTTTATAGTTGTTGAAACCTTCTGAGATTGCCTGAAACCTTTTTGCTATTCAACGATTTCTTCTTCAATGCTGCCTTTAAAGTCCCTTTTTCTTTCTTTCTAAACAGTCACTTTGAGATCTGCCATACATTGTCCTGGGAGATGGAAATGCTCTGACATTACTTTATCCTGTATGCTCTGTCACAAAAGAGACTTGTCTTGTTCATCATCTTATCCTTTCTGTCTGTCTGATTTCAATGTTCATAATATCTCTCCTGCTTATTTTGCTTCTTCATGTCTGCATATAAAAAAACATTAAATAATCTATACAGTGAATTTCCTTGGGTTCTTCTTGGCTATAGTTTCCATTAAGCTTTAAGTTTTAAAGTTGTAAAGCACAAGCCTTTTGGATATTGATAGATATTTCAGCTTATTGTATGGTGTCCTAAATGTATCCCACACCTTACAACTCACAGCAGGTATTTTTAGTTTTCCAAATATTCTGTGGTTTATCTTACAGGAAATCAATGATGGAGACGTACAGGATCTGGTGAGAAAGTCAATTGGAAGATTAACAATTATTCGGCAGAGCTTTCCTGTACCCCAGAACATCAGTCAGCGCTGTTTCCGTGGGAACCACCGAATATCTTCATCACTTTGTGACCCGAAAGACCCCTTCTCTCAAAATATGGAGGTATCCTCTGATCCTGTGATATAATCATTACTTAGGTAGATGAGGAAGTGAAAAGCTTTTATATAATGAAATTTTCATCCATCTTATGCAGTTAAATATAGGTTCATAAATCCAAACATACAAAAGCACATATAAGCACACACACAGTCCATAATGAAATCACATATATTCATGGCTTTCTGGAGATCAATATATGTGTTCCTTTGCTTTGCAAATATCCTTTCTCAGAAAATCTGCTCAAAAGGGCCAGACTTTTCAATTAAAATGTGATTTTTCATTCTGAGTGCCTTTCAGCTGAAGTCTTGCACTGACTCTACCCTTATAATATTACATGAATTCCAAGGGGAATTAATGAATACAGATTGGTTCAAAACCATAGGTCATCTTGAGGTAAAAATTCCAAAATAAAACAAAACAAACTCTGAACTCATGTATTTTTAAAAATGGCTTTTTTCTTTTTACCCAGCAAAAAAGGTTTTGCACACTATGTCCACTTATTTCAGCTGTTTCAAGCTTTTTTCTGCAAAATGGGTTAACACTTAGGTTAAGAATATCAATCAATGATTGACAGTTAACTCTATGAATGTATAGATTTTAGTACTCATAACAAGCATTTTTAAGGTGTTAGATATGTGTTTAACTACACTATTTAAAATATTTTAATTTTTACTCATTATTTCATAAGCCTTAAGTCAGTA